TCTGGTGCTCAGAGACTGTGCCATCAAGCCTGCCTACCACAGAAGTGAGAACATGGCAGAGCCGAGATTGTAAAGTCAGTTCCTAGGAATGCTCCAGTTTCTGAATCAAACCCCTGTTCCCTCTCCACGGCTCATTTTTAACCCTCGAGGGTAGGAACTGCAGCACTGCCAGCAAGCCACAGCTAATTCCTAGGACGTCCTCCGATGCAGGATACTTTAAAAAAACACCTGTGAAACAAAGGCATAAGCCCCACGCTCCGAGAACACATGAATGAAGAGGGGACACAGACCAGACTTCTAGAGGTCCAAACACTCTTAAGTGTTGTATCTCATGTAGCTGGTACTGAGAGGTACTGGCCCCACTTTAAGGAAAAGATAATAGGTTCATAGAGGTTGAAGTGTGTACCCTGGGTCACCAGATGGTAACTGACAAGCAAGACTTGTTCGCCTCCAGAGCCAAGCCTCTTGACCTTGGCCAGGCTGTTACCTGCTTCACGTGTCCCTTCTCCATTCAACCTCAAGCAGTGACCCTTCCTCTCTGTGCTTTGTCCAGCCCTTTTCTTCCCCCTTCCTCTGGGTCTCATTTTTCCAGTTCATTACTTCTTTTTCTGATAAGGCTTTCCGGTATCCTGTCTACTTGTTGCAAAGCCCATCCCGAAGACAGGCTTTAGGACCACACACACGCGCGCACACATACACACACACGCACACACGCACACGCACGCGCTCACACATGCACGCACACACACACACATGTACACACACACACCTCGCATCCTGATTAGCTGCTCTAGACTCTCATTTCAGTCTGTCTGTAATAACCAACTACTTAGCTGGTTGGTGGTCAGCCCAGACCTCACCTCCTCCAGGGAGGTTTCCTTGATTAACACGCTGCTATTCTGTTGGGCTCTTTCCCCTGAACTAGGTTACTGCCTTAGCCGAGCATATGCTGGTGTGCTGGCTCTTTTGCAAGTGTGTGCCTGTGTGCTCGCTCACCAGTGCTAATCCTCCAGGTCTTAGGTTCTTCTCGGCCTGCTTTATGGGCCCCAGCAATAGCACAAGCTGAGGGCCTTCCAGAACATCTGCACAGGCCTTTCTCCATCCTCCACCCCCACCCCCTACCCCACACCCCCACACCGCTGCCAAGACAAGTTTTGGGGCACAGCAGGGGCAGGTGTGGTGATATTTTGAGAGCTTTTTGAGGGATGGGACCAAGAAAAGAATTAAGAGAAACATGCAATGACAAGCCACCCAGCCCTGAGGGACTCTGCCGGGCTGTGGGAGACAGAAATTTCAGGGGAGTGGGAAAGCTGAAGCCTGGGAGGAGTGCAGGGAGTCACAGACAATGGGGAGGCGGGGTGAGATGTTGAAAGCTGACAAATGGCTGAGGAGGGGCCAAGGCTTTTTAATGCAAGATGGAAAGGGGCAGAGCTAGGAGAAGACTCATTGAAGGCAGGCAGCAAAGAGGACAGCCCCCAGGAGTCACTGCTGGGCAGTGGGGAAGCCACCAGAGGCCACAGTGGATGCTGTGTCGCTCTGTACTGGGGTGGGGGTGGAGGAGGCCACTGCCACACTCCTGGTAGCACATATCCAGCTGTTTGACTTTAGGCGGGTCACCAATCCTCTCTGAGACTGTTTCCTCATTTGTAAAATTGAGACTAAATTACCTTCCAAGGAAACTACAGAGTGTAGGGGGTAGCTAGAGAGAAGAAAGTCAGTAGGCCTTGCATTTGGAAGGGCCCGAAAGCTGATATAATCACGGGGGAGATTTTAGTACAAGTCCCTTGCTAAAAATTGTCAAAACCCTAAGGTTTAATGTCTTGAAACTCCCCAGGGCTTGGGAAGACCACGAGTCTGTCATAGGGAAGATGGTGCTGCATCTCATAAAAACCAGGCTAGCAGCCAGCACCTACAGCAGAAGGGAGGCAGGGCTACATGCATGGAACACTGGCTAAAACCATAGGATGCCTGTTCTGTGGAGTGGAGCAAAATGCCACGGTGCAGGGGGCAGAGGGGGGCAACAGACTGGAAGCCAGACTGGAACTTGGAGCCCCCAAAAGCCTTCCAAGGTTAGCATTGAGACATTTGGAAATGATCGTTCATTCTGGAGAACTTCCCAGAAGCCCAAGTTCCCAGCCCAACCCAGCAACAGAGCAGTGATCAACTTGAAGACATACTTTCCTGAATGGATCGAAAAGCTGATAAAAAAAAAAAAAACAACAACAACAAAGCCATGGGGACAGCAGTGCTCTTGAAGAGGGACTGCTGGAGCACCTGGCTTTTTAATTTGAAGATGCTTCCTGGGCCAAAGGGCTAGGCAGTCAGGTGGCATTCTCAAGACTCCTCCTCAGACCAAGAACTTTCCCAGCCTAGACAGGCACATCTCATCCAAGGTCAGATGGAGTTAGAGGGAGTGAGAGAGGTGGTGAGCCAATGGCTGTTCTTCCTGTTCACTGTGTCCTAGATAAAAATCTCTGCAGCTGGAAAGCTGGTGGAATTAAATTTAGACTTCTATTGTGGCCCGCCCTGCCACGCCTCCCAGGGGGAGGAGCCGCTGGCACAGCTTCCCTGGGATCCACACTAGCCAGTATCTGATGGGTGATGGATGATGGGCCAGCCATGCTCTCCTTCTGACTGTCTTACGGAAAAGCACTATCTCAGCATATAGAATACCCCACCAAGCCAGCACTGGGGCCTCCTAGGTCCTGTCACAGCGACAGTGGAAACCATATGAGATAATAAAAGCAAGGCATTTATAGAATTGCTTGTTATTCTCACTGGGATAATCTGGGTATGGTGGTATTTGGCCCTCGTGAGACTGCTCATTGACCACACACCAGAGAACCTTCTCTAGAGTCTTCTGCCGTCTCCCAGTGCCCGTCTCTGTTGTTCAGGCCTAGAGAACTCCCCATTGCCCAGAACATAAGCCTACAGGCTCTAGATTCTAGGTTCTTTGCTTGCCTCCTCTCTCTCTCCCCGTATTTCCTATGCCCCTGCTCTGGAGTATCTCCCTGCCCACAATCCCAGAACTGGGGCATTTAGTTCTCTCCTCCTGGTCCATGATTTGCATTCCTCTCTGACTCAGATAGTCAAGTCTTTGGACGTTTTCTGGGACAATCCCAACTCCCGCCCAGAAGGATGGGAAAGATGGCCTGTGACTAGCCCCAAACTGACGCTTTTTCCCAGAGTCACCTTGGATTCCCTTCGAGCATCACAAACATATGTGTGATCCCAGTCCACACCCTCGACCGTGTCTAGTGCTGCCAGAAGCTCGGGTTGTTTTACAGTCCTGGCTGGTGCTTGGCCTTCCCTGGTGTCTGACCTTATTCTTGCCACTCAACATACAGAGTGGGATCCCTTGCTTTCCTCCGGCCCTCCCACATGCACACATACAGCAAACTGTGACATGCTTCCATACACATAGCCCCACCATCCTTTGTGACTTCCCTCAACCTGACAGCTTCATCACAGCCACATGGCTGGTGTCTCACACGAGATCAAATCTACTGGAGTTCCCACCTGTCCAGGTGGGTCATCAGCGGGGCCAAGCCTCCTTGTCTAGGCAGGCTCTTCAAATCTCCGTAGTTAATAAGCTCTTCTTCCCCTGCCCCAGGCTTCTCTCTGGAACCTCCAGCCATTCCACAAGGACCAGGCTCCTTATGCCCACCACTACTGCCCTGGTCACTGTTCTCTGCATAGACTCCTGTCTGTTACCAGTCTTGGCTTTCATAGCTCCCAGAGTGGTCTCCCAACAGAAGAGCCTGAACAGGACTCTTCCTGGTTCTCCTCTTCCTGGTTCCCATAGCTGTCTCCGCTGTCACCACGCCCTGTTGACTAACGCGTTCTCTGTGACAGGTAAACGCTGTCAATCATGTTTATTCTCACTGCTGTCTCCCCACCTCTCCCTTGGCTACTCCCCAGGCTTTGGGCTTTTTACTTTAAATATAGAACCTTGTTTCCATATCCTCTTTCTCTTCTTCTGTTAGAACAATTCCTCTGCTCATCTCTCCCTTCCCTAATCTGCTTCCAACAGGCCTGCTGCCAAGATACACTGTCAGGTGTGGGAATACATCTTACCAATATAGTCTGTGGTCAAAACCGAGTGCATCCCGTATCTGAATTCTATCTATATTCCTTCACTAAACGAGAAGCCAGCTCACAAATCTTATGAGACTCCCTCACACTGACTCTGAAATTCCACATAGGAGGCAGGTATGGAGTGATTGACCCCATTTTAAAAACATCTGCATCTTGTTTCCCTTGAAGAATCTCTTAAAATTGCCCTGACCCTTGTCCCTGCTCAGGGAATGGGCCTCCGCTCAGGGAATGGGCCACTGCCTGCGGTACAATAATTCGCTCCAGTATGATTGCAACTCACAACAAGCCATCATAGGAACTGTACAAATGTTGAGCACTGTGCAGCTGGCTTTTGAATGCTTGGTAAGTGTTGAGAGCTTGGGAGGCTTCTCAAGATGGTGCACTGCTTGTCCAATAAAAAAGTATAGAAGACGATACTCCTTGGGGGCAGTGATGGCACCACAGGAACGTGCCCACCTAGCAAGCGTGAGGGCCTGAGTTGCTCTTCCAGAAGCCACGATATAAAAGCCTGGCATAGTGACACACACTTGCAATCTTAGCACCAGATTAGGCAGAGATTGGTGTGTATGGCTGTCATTGACGGTTCCACCAGACTAGCCTAATTGGCTTGGCAAGTCATGAGCCAATAAGAGAACTTATCCCCCTGACCCAGAAAAGAAGACAGACCACACCTGAAGACAAACAGCTGATACCCTCTGGCTCCATGGGCATATGCCCATACCTGCATACACACACACACACACACACACACACACGTGCCTGTATACATATATACCTATATTCACACAAGAAAAAAAATAAGCCTTACCTTCCCAAATTTGAATTAATTTCAAAGAACTGAAGAAATAACAACTCGTCTCCTGATCACACAATATACTGAGATCACAGAAAATTTTATTGTAGAAAAAAGCAGAACTGCCAAGCCCTTCAAAGTTCAGCTTCCAACAGGCAATGAAGTCACAGCATTCCCCAGGGATCCCTACAGAGAAGCCCTTCCAGACAAAATTACAGGCTCAGCAAGCCAGTGAAGGGGTCTCCAGAACTTAGAAGCAAAGCCAATTCCCTCTCTAGTGGCTCTTCATAGGTTGTGCTTTTTTCTTCCTGCCTCCTCGGCACAGTTCAAGGATTTTTTTCAGAGAACTGTAAATTAAATTTTAAATTAGGAGTTCAAGTCTGACAACTTAGAATCAGAGTTCAGAAGGGACTTAGGAGTTCTGAGAGAGAGCATTGGGTTGCCTGCTAAAACCCGGGCCATTTCCAGACTGGCTTAAGGTTGGATCTCTCCCCAACCCAAGGCAACATCTCTCATTCCTCAGGGCCAGGCTGTCCTACCGGTGCCCAATGTTTGGGCAATTCTCAGCACGTCCTTTTGGAACAGAGTTCTGGAAGGAGCTGGCTCCAAATACAGGGGCTGCTGGAAGGGGGAGGGACAGAAACAGACCGTAATTGTCAATCCCATACCACCCACACCCACTGCTGAGAACAGCCATTCCTTGGACAAGGGCTCCAGTTCCCATGCTCACTGAACGATCCCTACTTGGGGCTGTTAACCCAGGAGACAAAATAGATCAGCACGGGCATGACCTACAGGTACCGAATCTGAACAACAAACCCACCCTTGCCATCATGGTGAGGGAGCATAAGGCTACAGAGCAAGCCCCCTCCCCATGGCCCTTGTCTCAGATGTGCCCCTGGCTAAACAAACTTGCATTGCAATAGGTTTCTTTGAGGGGAGATTTCAGAAGGCCGCTGTGGGTGAGGGGTTATTATTTACTGAGCTACCCAGTTTGAGAAAAAGGGACCTGGGTCTGAGGCCCCTAGTGAAGTTTTTCTCCAAGCTCTTTTTCTTCGTTGTTGGGCAAGGCCCCTGGGTATCAGGACAGTGGAGGGACAGCGGAGTGGTGCCGGAGTGAGCATGTGTCTTTAACGAAATAAAGAGGCGGTAAATCTGACCTGCTTCCCCACCTAGAGCGAAGTGACCTGGAAGCTTGCTGAGACCCGTTGGGAAAAGGTAGGTGAGAGAGCCCGGGAGGGCGTCGGGGGGAGGGCGGCAGGAGAGGTACTGAAGCCGCTTTCCCGCTACTCCACCACGCGCCTGCGCGAACTGTGGGTGGAGGTCTGCACTATCTGAGTGCGGGAGGAGCCGCCGCTCCGGCCGCCGCCGCCGCCGCTGTATTTGCTGCTGCTTTTGCTGCTCGAGCCGTAGCTCCCGCCGCCCCCGCGGGAGCCTGCTCCTCCTCCGTAACCGCCGCTGCCCCCGCGGGAGCTACTGCCGTATCCACCGCCGTAACCGCCTGAACCCCCGCCGCTGCCGCCACCGTAGCTGCCGCCGCCTACAGTCACCTGACTGCTCTGCACAGCTGTATCAGGGAGGGACAGACGCACAAGTGTCAGAAGGATTCGTCAGGGGGACCCAGCGGCACCCGCCGTGAGCGCCTGCAGCCCGTCATCCCTAGTGACCTCCTCTTTGAAAACAGACTCATTGGAAGTCACTGCGTACTTCCAAAGGATGTAGGCCTTCGTTTAAGTGTGCCACCCCTGTTTAGAGAAAAGGCCTCAGTGCTCAGCTTTTATTGGATGCATCTCCTAATGATCGTTAACCAAAGCTGTCAAGTACCCCAATCAAGAAAAGCAGGCCTTGCTCACTATGGTGTTCCTTGTAAGAGACTAGAAAACAAAGCCAACCCGGCCCAGCCCATCCAGCCTCCATCCCGGACGGACGATGCTACTTACAGATGCTCACTTGACTCTGTAGCTCCCCCGACATCCTGTGAAATGAAAGCAGGGCCATCAGCCATAGGAGCAGAGATGCTGATGTAGGGGTAGAGTAGAACTGTCCCCGAGCTCTTTCATGAAGTCTTAAAGCATTTGTGGGTCACACCTGGCCGCACCTATCTTAGGCTGGAGTACAGGAGCTTGGTGCTTGGGAGAAGGGGTGGGTAACAATGGCTTCCCCCCTACCCTTCTAACCTATACACCCTAACTTGCATCTTTCCGCTCACCTTGAACCACCAATATTTCTGGGAACACCTGGAAAAGCCTTTCTTCATTCTCATTGGTCCATGGGTACATTCATATCTTTGGCCCAAGGCACATGGCTGCAGTACACCCACCTGCTCTCCTCGCCCTCCAGCAGCTGGCGGTAGGTGGCGATCTCCACATCCAAGGACAGCTTGGCCCCCAGCATTGCCTGGTAGTCTCTCAGCAGCCTGGCCAGCTCCTCCTTAGACTGTTGGAGAGCCTCGTCCATGTCTTGCAGCTTTTGCTTTGCATCCTGGAGAGCCCTTTCTCCTCTCTCCTCTGCATCAGAAATGGATCCGTGCATCTGTTCGATCTGTATCAGAGACAAGTGGAGTACCACAGAGGTATTGAGCCCCTAGAATCTGACCTTGACCTTATGGGAGGTGGCATATCTGGTGAGCCCACCATGAGCACGCGCCCCACCTGCTTCTTGACGCTGTTGATCTCCGCCTGCAGCCTCTGGATGTTGCGGTTGAGCTCTGAGATCTCCATCTTGCTGTTCTTCAGGTCATCTCCATGTTTCCCGGCTGTGATCTGCAGTTCCTGGTACTATAGGTCAGAGGCAGCACCATGGTCAGCACCTGCGGTTTTCTATGGTCTCCCAGAGAAAGCTCTGGGCCGCTCTTTCTTGGAGTAAGGTCATCCACCCCAAACCTCCCTCAGCTGAGGAACAAAAAGACATGTGCAGGCACAGTACGTGCATACACACACACACACACACACACACACACACACACACATACGCACACACGCACACACACACACCCCACTATAATAAACCTCCCTCCTCCCTGATTTCCACCAGTCTCTGGGCGTTCTTCTCCTCTTCCATTCAGACAACCCTGTTTCTTAATGCCCATCACCACCTTTTTCGCACACCTAAGCCTTCACACCATCCTTACCCACACTGGACCCTCTCACTCTGTCCCACCCCCATATTCCTTGTCCCATTTCCGGAGTGATTCTCCTAGCAGGCAGGAACTGCTGGCCTCAGAAGTCCTCAAAAAACCCACAGTCATTATTTTCTCTCTCCTGTGCCAGCATTGCTTCATCAACCAGACTACACACAGGGCGTCCTCTTGAAGAGCTAACGAGAAAATGTGTGTTCTGACACAATTCCCCTTCCCCAGGTCAGTGACAAGATCCACTGTATCCCACAACATCTGCTTCCAGATTGTGGGACAGAGGTCGGCGACCCTAGAGTCAACTTCAAAATCTACAAAGCAGACAACCACATCCTGCTTACTCAGAATGGCTGAGCTGCCTGCCTTTGTTCCTCCAACTAGAGCCTTGACCATTCAGAAACATGCATTCATACCCAGGAGGTAACAGAAAATATGTCCAATGGCATGGTAACAAGTGTTCACCTAATAAGTTCCCATACTGTTAAGAAAGTTGTAGAATGTTTAGAGTTACAGAAAGCCATTTCTAAGTAATATATAAAATAGAAAACAAAAAAGATAGTATTATGAAAAATAAAAACAACAAACGTGGTGGTGGTTAAAAAACACGTTTGTAATTTGCACTCCTGAGTCTAGTTATGGTTAATGGCAGCTAGTATTGCAAGGCTTAGGAGAATTAGGCAGTGTGGCACCTATGAGTATGAACTAAAAATGAATAACCACAACAGGCAGGAACTAACCACACGCACTCAGGGTAGTGCGAAGAGAATCCTTAGCCGATTATCGGAAGTCTTTACCATTGGCATGTTACACGTTAAAGTGAGGAGGCAATATCAGTTTGGAGAGTTTCTGTTTATTTGGGGGTGCAAACTCAGAGCCCAAGATCACCTTGGTCTGGTACAGTGCCTCGGCCTCATCCTTGCTCTTCTGTGCGATCAGCTCATATTGGACTCGCACTGCATCGATGATGCTGTCCAGGTCCAGCGAGCGATTGTTGTCCATCGACAAGATGACATTGGTGTCACTGATGTGTGTCTGCATCTGGGACAGCTCCTGCGAAGCAGAGCATAGTTCACTCCTTCCACCCTCCCCTAGAGCCTCAGTCGCCCCTCAGCTTCTCCCTCAAGGCTTCCTGGGGAAGCCGGAATCTGAGCTAGAAGGGCCTCTTATAAGCAATGAAACACAAATGGAAGGTCTTAAGTGTCTCAACTCAAGTGATGGGGCCCAGGCATCTCGGCAGGAGGAAGCAACTCCGTGACCCCCTCTCCATCATGCCTTCTGTACTCACTGCCCCAGCCTTGCCCTGGCTTCACCAGTTTTTTGACACATGTCTTTGAAAGACACAGCTGCTCCTTGTAGCCATAAGAGCTCTCAACGACAGCAGAAGGGACTCCAGTCTGGAGTCACCTGACTAGCAGCTTGACGAAGCAAATAACTGAATCTCAGTTCATGCACTCTTCTGTTGAATGGGCAACTCCACAAGCAGAGCTTCTGATGCAGCACTCAGCTGGGAGCATGAATCCGCACGTTAGACACAGGTCATAGGTGGATCTGGGGAACAAACTCCGGCTCCGCCTCCAGTTTGCTTTTTCCACAAAACCCATCCTATCATTTTCTACAGGGTTCTCCCGGAGCCTGATGGCCTTCCCACAGAGCGTGAAGACCTGCTTGTTACTCTCGTGTCCCAGGAGACCATAAAGCAGGAAACCACTTCACCCTCACCTACTCGAGATTCTCGCTGCCCACCCACATCCCCACTGCCCCAACCAGAACCTTGAAGTTCAGGGAATGGCTGTCCCAACATGAAGAGCTGCATTCCTGGTGAGATGAGCCTTCTCCAGCTTTTATGAGGTGTGGGAAAAGAAAGGGGCTTCTCCCCAGGACTGACTCACCGTATCAAATAGATATTTCAGGAAGTTGACTTCCCCATACAGCGTGTCCACTTTGGACTGCAGGTCTGATTTGCCCATGAAAGCAGCATCCACATCCTGAGTGATGAAAATGTTTGACTTCATTACCCAAGCATTACATGCCACCAGCCTCATGTCTGGCCTCGGGTCACTGTCAAATGCTCTCTCTCTCTGGGTTTAGTTCCTGGCTAAAAATGTTATCACTTCACTCAAATCAGGGACCTAGAAAGAGGCACAACAACCTCCACCATGCCTCAGCCACATCAGCTCTCCAGATCCCAAAGCAGAGTCCGTCTGGCTTCCTTTCTCTGTAAATGCCCTGCAGTTGGGCAGAGCACGTGCCCATGCTGGCCCAAGGGTCACCCTATCCACAGCACAGAGGATTCCCAGGGCTTCTCTCCTACCCAATCCTCAGCTCCCTGGGGACCCCCTTTCCATTACCTTCTTCATAACAACAAAGTCGTTCTCAGCATTGGTCCGCTTGTTGATTTCATCCTCATACCTGTGGTGGAGGCAAGAAGCAGGCTGAGGGCCAACCTCGGCCCTCTGAGGGTCGGCCTCCCAGCAGAAAACCAAGACTTTCCCAAGCCCCCACCATCCTGAGCTCAGCCCTGCTCCAGCACTGCTGACGGATGACTGGGAGTAACTCCAAATCCTCCTGGCCAACAGTAAGGACAGTACACAACATGAAAAACTCGGAGACACAGAATATCCCCAAATATCCATTTGTTCTGATGTTACAATGTTATAAATGTTTACCTCAAGTTTTTTCAATAAAACCATAAAGTAATAACCACTTTGACCAAATCTTTTAAGAGAAAAATGTTTCAACTATAGTTCTGCCCCCAACTGTGAGTTTTATTTTTCCCTGGGGACTCAGACATATGTGATTCTCCAGTAACCCAACACAGTGAGCATGGCCTTTGAGGTGGGAAACTGTAGAAAAGGCCCCTTAGGACTAACAGTCGCTCATGAAGTCACCCCTACCCTTGCCGGTGTTAACTATTAAGTATCATTTCATCTCAACCAGTGCGTCTCAGTGTGGTCCCCATTCCACCAGCATTGGCATCACACATACTCTGACTGCATCCCAGACTCACTGGATCAGAACCACTGGAGTGGGACATAGATTCAGACACAACACGAGGCAAGCTTAAGTTTAAGAACCACAGAGCTATTCCATCCAGTACTCAACAAGGGGGGATGCTCCAGACAAAGAGATGAACTTGTAGGCAGGGCTCACTCATCCCCTGCCCTTCCCTGCTCAGTGTAACTGTCAGCTAGCTGCCACTGACATCCCACCAGGACTGTCACATGTAAAACGTCACCCCCTGCAGTTATACACTGCAGAACCACATGAGCCCCCTGGTTCTACTGCAGCAAAAGGACCCTGACTTGCCCCTTGGCCCCTCCCCCACCTGGATCCTTACTTGCTCTTGTAGTCCTCCACGACATCCTGCATGCTCCTGATCTCCAAGTTTTGGCGCGACCGCTCAGAGTTCAGAAAATCCACCTGCCTCTGCAGTTGGCTGATGTAACTCTCGAAGATGGGCTCCAGGCTGCTGGTTCGAGTCGTGGTGTTCACCTGCTGCAGCAGCTCCCATTTTGTCTGTAGCACCTGGTTCTGTTGCTCCAGGAAGCGCACCTAAAAACCAAGGTCCCCAAAATACCCCAGACCATGAGTTGGAACAGCCTTCTCCATGGGAAGAGCTATCCATGGCCTTGCAGCCCACTCAAACCTCCTCGGAAGTTCAAGATGGGCCTTCAGGCCATCAGGGGAGGTAAACAGTTTCTTATGTCACCTCCAGCCAGTTACATTGAGATGCACACCCTGACACAACAGAGCTTTCAGCCCACACTCAATTTATCCATGCCAAAATGAGCAATTGTCATTTCCTTTGTCTTTATGACTGGAGTGTGGCTCATGACTGAGAACAGGAAGGCAGAAGGAGCAGTCTTTTAGTATCCCGGGCATGCTTGGGTGGGTGCCCCCTGAATCTGTGGTTTCCAAGACAGTAACCTCATTTAAATGCTATTATAGCCCAGGTAGAACTATTAAATAAGTGCTTCCACTTTTTAAAGTCCCACAATGCATTTACACGTCCCAAGTAAGAGCTTTGGGCTGACATATTTCAAAAAATGCCTAGATTACTACTTCCTTTGCTTGCCCAGGAAATAGAGCATCAGCATGGTCCTGTTCATCACTCCCTCCCCTCAAACTGTGGGAACAAAGATTGGACACAGAGTGGGGGCTGACAGCATGGATCAAAAGTCCTTTGTCCTTCATGTCACAAAACTCAGTTTTCACTGTTCCCTGCCAGTTGCCCACAGGTGGAGCTTCTCGTGTCATGCATTGATAAAGACAGCTGTGCCAACTGTGTGCTTCCCTCAAGGACTGTGTGTGTGTGCGTGTGCACACAAATTCTCACACATTTCATATATGTGTGTGTGCATCATACATCTGTATATATATTTTACATGCATAAATATTCATAGTTATACAGACAGGTATAATCACATATATTCACATTCATGTGCACACATTTACATACTCACTTGTACACAAACACATTCCTACATAAGTAAGTTTATAAACATATCCATTCATATATACACATTAAGAGAGAAATCTCTATGAAAGGGAGGGTAACCACTGCTCTGTGGAAGCAGAACAGCCCTTTGCAGACACTGTCCTAAGATGGAGCGCTATAAGTCACCCAGAATTCCCAAGCCCCTGAGACTGTGCCTGTCTGAGGGGCCAGCTCTTGCCAGCTCTCCTTGGATTCTGCTTCTAATCGGAAGAATGTGTGCAGAGAACATTATCTCTCAGGCTTGGCTTGGCTGTATCACAGCAACAGATTGGGGCAAGCAGTTCTCAGATGTCCCATGTCAGTGCAGCTTGTAACCCCATGAGGAATTCCTGCCACTATTTCTGTTCTGTGGCGACACTCCAGAGAGGGGGAAGGTCAGTTACTCCATTACAGCTGAATGTTTGGTGACAGTGGCAGAGTGGGTATGGGCTTCTCAGACTGTGACTTTTATGCCAAGGGAGGACTTATGAAGGAGAGGTTCTGTCCTTTCAAGGGATGGCTCTACTGTGCTGTTGAGAATAGGCCAGGCTGTGCAGATGGGAAACCAGAGGCCACCATGAGAAATTACAGTAATAAAAAGCTTGTTTTTGTTCAGGCTGGAGGCCACCTGGCTGATGGTCATCAAGGCCAGCTCCAAAGGAGAACAGGAAGCCATCTTCTGCACCTTGGTACCCTGCTGTAAAACTAAACAAGCCTCTGTTGATGGCAGGAGCCTTGATCCAATGAAAATCCCAAATTAATTCCCAGAAATCTGTGGTCCTTTGTTGATGCCAGTTTTCCCTGTTCCCCCTTCGGCAACCTTGGCCTCCTGGCAGCATCTCCCTCACTATTAAGTCCTTGCTCCAGGCAAACCTTCTGGCCTCTGCCTGTACTCAGGCACCATGGTGTCCAAATTGGTTTCACTTCCAGAGTGAACACCCTGGGGCTGTCCATGGCCCTACTCCATGCCCTCCTCCTGCTCACAAACCACTTCAGCTCCAACACTTGCCCTGATAGCAGAGAGTGGTCATTGTACCTCCCTCTGCAAGTATCAAAAGGAAGATTTTTACTGTCTGCCAACCTCTCCTCAGAGACCTGAGCATGAGGCAAACCTAATCAGTGAACTGGGGTAAAGGGCTTCACAGTGGCTCTCGGTTAGCCTCAGGTGACTTACAAAGGACAACTCAGACAGAATGCCCCGTTAGCTTCTGGAGAGACCTGCCACCAGAACATTTACTGAAGCCCATGACAGCTTCCCAGTTGTTGCTGCTGTCTGTCCCTCTATTATATCACCACCTCTCTCCTTCCTGTCACTTTCCCAGAAATCTTGACATTTGACATTCTCTGGAAGGGATCACACTTGTCACGCTTCCTTGCTACATGGACATTCTTTCTGCTGTGCTTGGCTCTCCTTTCACTTTCAAGACCGAGGTGAGACCTGGGATCTCTCAGTGAAGCACTTCCAGTGTCCACCATGGCATAACTCATGGCACCTTCAGGCTACCATGACCCAAAGGCTGCCACACATACTAACACATCTCCTATAAACTGTCCCAGTTCTCTGCCATTCAGCTTGGGGGCTCCCTGTAGCTTCTGTGTATGGTGGCATGCAGTAAACCTAATAAAATATTTGTGAAATGAATAGGAGTGGGACAAATGGACAGGTAGACTGACAGACAGGCAGGTGAATGGGTGGCTTGATAAGCCTTTGAGTGCATAGCAGGGAATGGGTGCAGGCATGAGTGTTGGGTAGAAGCATGGGTAGGTGATATTTATTGTGGATGATAGATGATGGGTGGGTGAGTGGATATTTAGGTGAATGAATACAAATGGATGGGTAAACGGATGGATGGATGGATGGATGGATGGATGATGTGAGTGGATGGGTGGACATATTAGATGGATGTATGAATACATGGTGTAAATAAGTAGATAGATATAGATAGGTGGGCAGACAAATAGATAAAGATAGATAGAAGAAGGGAGATGAATGGATGTGAATAGATGGATGGGTGATGGGTGAATGTGTGTGCCTAAGAGGATAAGTGGATGAATAGATTGGGTGGATGAGTAGATAAATGGATGATGTATGTGGATAAGCAGACGGATGCATGGGTGGGTGGATGGATGGATGGATGGATGGGTGCATGAATGGATGGTGTGGTTTAGTTGGTGGGTGGGTGGACAGATACATGCGTATGGATGGTACGTAGGATGGATGCTGAGGCGGGTGATTAAATGAGTGAACAGGTGTCTAGGAACCCAGATGAACGGAACGTGGGTAATGGTGACCGAGGGCGAGATTGTTATCGTGTGTACCTGTTGGGTATCACCACACCTCTTATCTGCTTTCCTACTGAAAGGGAAAGATAAAATGCAGAGCTGAGAAGCCTACATTAAATGTTATCTATGTAATAGCCTCAGTCAAAGGCTTTCTTGGGGTCCCAGACCACACTGAATGGAGGGACTGCCACCAACAAAATGAAGCATCTCCGCAGGATCAGCACTATGGCAGAGCATGAGGCCCTCTCGGCCACTTGGATGCTGACCAAGGACTCTATCTACCCCTAAGGTACTTACCTTGTCGATGAAGGAGGCAAACTTGTTGTTGAGAGTCTTGATCTGCTCACGCTCCTGGTTCTTGACTCTTTGAATTTCAGGGTCTACCTCCAGGTGTAGGGGTTCCAGGAGGCTCTGGTTAATAGTCACCTCATGGATACCCCCAGGAGGAAAAGACGGACCGAATCCGCCAAACCCACCAAATCCAGCACCAAATCCAGCACCCCCAAAGCCACCTCCAAATCTGCCACCACCATAGCCACCGCCTCCAAAGCCACCACCCCCAAAACTTCTTCCTGCTCCAAATCCTCCTGCTCCTCCCCCAGGGCAAAAACCACTGGCGCTTCTCCCTACTAGGCTCCCAAAGATGCTTTTACTACCGCCCAGATTGTAGAGACTCCGGGAGCTAAACCCCCCTCCATAACCACCGCCGCTGCACCTCCCGCGTGACTGGCACACAGATCCCACAACCTGTCGCCCACCGCCAAAGCCCGAGGAGGACCTGCTGCTGTAGGCCCTCCTGCTTCTCGAGCTAAAAGCAGACTGAGAGCTAAACCTGTGACTCATGGTTGCTAGGGCAACCAGAGGTGGAAAGCAAGGGCCCAACTGGAAGGAGGCAGAAAGCAAGAGGGAAGGAGCTGTGTCTCCCTTGCAAAGGCTTTGGCTCAGTCCCTATATATACACACACCTGCTGGGCTGGGTGCCTGGGAGGGGAATATTTGCCAGCTCCATCTGCTTAAAAACTTCACACCTATCTGTTGCTGAAATTACACTGCAGACAAACTCCCCCAACTTGATCATTTATCGTTTATCTCTTACTATGGAGATATCGAAGGGCAGCAATCTCTCAGGATCTCAGTGTTGGAAACTCCAGTGGAGTTTCTCCTCAAATCTCACACTGATCTTTTCCTACGAAACACGCTGAGTTGTTTGTTTTGGGGTGTGCCTGAGAGATCTGGGATAAAACTACAGAATGTCTAGTGACCTTGGGACCACAGCTGGGACGAAAGTGGAGACACTTGCTTGAACAGGGCTGTCCCTGTCCGCAAAAGCTGGTTTTGTTTTCCATCGTTTTCGTGTGTCAACAAAATATTTTGTGAGCATCTCCCTGTAATATCTCCTAGACTCAAAGGCAAACTATCCCAAACTATTTTCTTCTCTTCTAATATTTCTAAACTGACACTGGCAATATTTTTGTAAAAAAAAAAGTTTAAGGGATATGTAAAGACCACAGTTTTTTATTTTATTGTTTTTAATAATATATTTTTCTCCACTCCCCTCCCTTCCTCTCCCCTCCCCTTCTACCCTCTCTCATGGTCCCCATGGTCCCAATTTGCTCAGGAGGTCTTGTCTTTTTCTATGTTCCATGTAGATTAGATCCATGTATGCCTCTCTTAGGGTCCTCATTGTTGTCTAGGTTCTCTGAGATTGTGAATTATAGCCTGGTTTTTCTTTGCTTTATGTCTAAAAATCACTTATGAGTGAGTACATGTGATAATTATCTTTCTGGGTCTGGGTTACCTCACTCAATATGTTTTCTAGCTCCATCCATTTTTCCTGCAAATTTCAAGATGTTATTATTTTTTTCTGCTGTGTAGTACTTCATTGTATAAATGTACCACATTTTCCATATCCATTCTTCGATCGAGGGGCATTTAGGTTGTTTCCAAATTCTGGCTATGACAAACAATGCTGCTATGAACATCACAGTTTTTTGAAAAGCCTTAATTTAGGTTTAGTATTATTATTTTGTATTTGCTCAGCATAAAATTGCCCTCCTAGTAAAAAGTGGCAATAATAACAGTAAGTTCCTCAAGGGTTACTCTCAAATTCTGTATTTATTAAAGAACTGCAGTGAGCGAATCGTGGCCTGCGTACATTCTCTGAGGACTGTCCCCAGTAGGAGGCCTGGCGAGAAATTCAGGGAGTGTATTCGTGTCATCTGACAAAGTGTGTTTCTGCTTCTGGATACAAATATCTGGTGGACTGCATCCAAATGTATGAAAATGTCTTAAACATGAAGAGAAAGAATAAATGCCCAGTTTCAGCAAACAAGATTGGGTAATTTCTCCACAGGGACACAATTATTTAAACCCTCAAGGAAGTGTAGCAGGACCAGAAAAGGTCATGATATAATAAATGTTATGGAGACCTGGGGGGCTCAAAAGTCACAAGGAGCGTGAATCACTCAGGCAGATCATGGGACACTTTCTCCCAGGATTTTAAATGTCATTTTTCTATGTGTTCATGCAATAAATGATTTTTTTTTCTTGCAATAGTTGGGGCTGACTCCCAAGTGCTCCAGCTTTGGGCAGAAATCCCAATCAAGGCTGGGATGATCGGCTGGTCTGAAAAAGCAAGAGACTGTTCAGAGGGAAAAGCCTGCAGCTGGAAGTGTCCTGAGGGCCTTATCACTCTCCACAGTGTTCCGGGCGTGGGAACTGTTTAATGGGTCACCTCCAGGGATCGCTGTGGAGGGGAAAGAGAGTGAGCCTGAGATGTGGAGACAAAAGTTCAGCTCCTGGATGTTGCCATCTCAGACAAGTCATTTGCTCCAGAGCCTTGGATGCTACCGTCTTTCCAGATCCATGAATTGAAGCCCAGCAGAGTACACTACAACACCCTAGAAGTATGTATGGTTGCTGCTCTCTCCCTCCCACGAACCCATCCCGGTGAGCAACAACCATCCACGTCATCCATGATTCCAACTCAAGCTTGGACGATGCTATACAAGTCAAAACAGATGGCCACCCTAGTCTTTTTCTATCTATACACGGCCATTATTCCCAACTTAACCTCAAGGGACTTTAGATAGGACAATGGAGCCAGGCCCGCATGTTCAAAGATAAGGAGAAAGCAAAAAGGCCAGAGAAAGAGTTGAAAATGAAACTCTGGAGAGCCAGATGCAATGGAAAGTTGCCAAAAGGCCAGGGTTCTGAGTCAAGCAGAGGCAGAAGCAACGAAAGAAGAAGAGAGAGGAAGAGGTCAGAAGAGTTATGGTGGGACAGCGGGCATGGCAACAGTGGTTGATGAAGGAATTCTTGAGATGAGCATCTTGAAACTTGGCTTTAAAGCAAGACTTTGTGCCTTCCCAGCCCCTTGGTTTGGACATGTGCATCATCAAATCTCAGTTTCAGACTTCTGAAACAAAGAGAGTAACAAAGCAGTGCAGGAGACTCTAAGGAGGGTTATGCTCAAATACAAAGGAGCAGCTATCAGTTGGCCCTGTGAATGGGGCTCCTTCCTCTAACACCTTCAGGAAGCTTCCCCCAAGGCTAAAGACCTTGGGAGCCCCTCTCAACCTCTGCAGAGCTTGTCTGTACTGTTGGCTTATATCCATCTCTCGTCACCTCCATCTTCACACCCAGCTAAATAAACAGGTCCTTAGCATCAGAACCAAACACAGCCTAAAAAGTGCCCACCAGATTGCTGGTAGAGACTAGTGGCAGAGTCCTGCCACTGAGTGAAAGTAAAGGCTAACACAGAGATATTTGAAGAAGGAAGAGCCTGGCCCCACATTGAGCCAGCCTCCCTGGTTCCTGGCTCTGTGGTTGCCCTGTTTACTGACTACTGGCTCCCCCTCCCATCACTCACTGCCTGCTATCATCAGCAAGAACTCTCCTTAAAAAACAAGTGGGGAGTCAGCTTGCCCCACCTGACTCCCAAATACTGAAACCCAGGCTGCCAAGAGGGTGAGGCCCGAGCAGCTATCAGTCACAGAATCACAGTCTCAGCAGCCACAGGGGGCAGGGTTCCAGAGGATCTGCTGGTGTGACCCATGAAGCATCCCCACAGATGCTCCCTGTCTCATCCAGCATCTCCCAGGGGCTGGACAAGGATGTGGCAGGGGTGTGGCAGAGAAAGACCTGAGGAAGCATCTCAATCCCCAACCCCCACCCCGAGGGTGAAGCTCTGGGGCTATGGGGCAGGTATGTACGGAGTTTGTGTCAGCCTTGTGACTGGAACTTTGGAACCTGTAACCTGCAGATAAGACACCATGGGGTGGTAAAGATGGGGAGAGAGCGGCTGCTGGACAGAGCAGAAGCTCCATCCTTAGTTATCCACCCAGCAGGAGCTTCTCCCTGTTCAAGTGTCAGAACCGAACTTGCAATAGAGGTCACCAGTCAGTTGGCTGGTGTCATTTCACATCACTGGGGACTTCTGATTTCTGGGTGAGGATGGCTATTGGGCCATCACCTAATGTCCCAAAGTACCCAGGGCCTCACCTTTGTTACCCTCTTTGACTAGAATCCCAGGACCTGCCTGGAAATGAAGGAGAAAGCAACTTCCTTCTACCTTGTCAAACCTATCAGATGCTCTGAGCCCTGGAAACCCCCATGAGGCCACAGCACATCTCTGCAGAGTCCCGTGCAGAAGGTTCCAGAGACAATGTTGTTCCGGGCATGTTAAGGCTCTTCCATCCAAAGTACTAGAGAGCTGACTTTTTAAACACCCTTCACTAAAGCTGGCACTGTCTCTTGTCCCTGATCAAAGGGAACAGCTGGGCATGTGTGGGCCTAAAAGAAAACAAGGTTGTAGGCTGGACCCAAGCCGAATTCCAAGAGAAATAGTCAAGGCCCAGGTCATGAATCACAGCTGTCTGAGCAGAGGACACTTCTGTATATTGGATCAAAAGGGAGTCAGGATGTACTCAAGATTGTGGGGATAGTTGGAAGTGGGGTAGGGACCAGAATCCCAAATCTCTGGGGCAGGAGATAGGAAAAATTCAGTTAATTCCAGGCTCATATGTCTCCTTTCCATGTTAAAGAGATGATAGCAATATAAACACAAGGAATTAACTATTCTTCTTTCCTTTATTTAAAGAATAAGCATCCCTGGAACAATGGTTATGAACTTTTATTGGGGTCTTACAATGAAGAAGCTACATGGATGGCATTTAAGCCTCATAGACTCTTGGGGCAAGGGTTCATGCACACGTAGAGGCCAGAGGTTGGTGTCAGTGTCTCCCTCTGTCACCTCATCTTATATTCTGAGACAGAGTCTCTCCCTGAACCTGGAGCTTGCTGCTTCTGCTGGATTGTCCAGCCAGATTCTCCTCAGATCCGCCTGTCTCGGTACCTCCTACACTACAACTGCAGTCTCCACACACATCACCAGGGCTGCAGACTCACCTCACCGCCCTCTGGTTTTTCTGGGGATCCTGGGGATCTGAATGTGGGTCCTCATGCTTACACACGCATTTTACCCACTAAGCCATCTCCAGTGTCGCCACCCCCCTTTTTTTGCAGAGGACAAAGTTTCTTGTAACCCAGGCTGGCCTATTACTCTCTGTGTAACTAAGGATGACCTTGAGTTTCGGAGACCTTGCCTCCACCTCCCAAGTGCTGTGATTACAGGTTTGTACCACTGTGCCTGGCAGAAGAGGTGCTGGAGATGAGCTGGGGGCTTCAGGTATGCTAAGAAGGTGCCTTACTAACTGAGCCCCATCCCAAGCCATGCAACCACATTTTACTGATGATTTGAGGTGAGCAAGCAGCCAGACATAGTGCCTGTAGCCCCCTGACCCCAGATTTCACTTGGGCAGACTGACTCCAAAGGCAGAGTTT